ACACACACACGCACACACACGCACACACTCAGCAGCGTCTTCGTTAGCGGACAGATATCCAGGAACCATGCCCGAGAGGAGGCCCTTCGTACGGTTACCAACTGACGTCTACCCCGTCAACTACGGCTTGTGTCTGAAGCCCGACCTGATCGACTTCACCTTCGAGGGGCGGCTGGAGGCGCTGGTGGAGGTATGTATGTGTGTGTGTATGTGTGTGTATGTGTGTGTGTACATGTCGGGGAGGGGGGGGGGGTCTGGTTATGTAATGTGGCCGGCTAACGTTCCCTGGAGCTGGCTAATTTGCTGGGCTCGACCGATGTAGCTATAGTTAGCCGTTAGCTAACGGACCAACCGTCTCTGAGGGGGCTCAAGCCGCCCGAAGGAGACCCGCGAACGTGCAGCGAACCGCGGCTGGTTGTGTGTGTGTCTGTGTGTGTGTGTGTGTGTGAGACTAGCCGCTAAGCTAAGTGATGTCAGTCAGTCCAACAGTCCAGCAGACCTGCCTTCTCATGTTAGCTTAGCCCGCTGTCTCCCACCGTGGACATTAGCATGTTAGCGGGTTGTGTGTTCAATGTGCGGCCACATCCTCACAGCCTCCACTAACACACACCCAGGCTCCGTGGACACACTGCTGCTTCATTACAGAGGTTAACTGGAGCCAGCTAGCTGCTAGCAACAACTGCTAATGTTTGCAAAATCATGGCAACACCCCCCCCCCCCCCCCCCCCCCCCACCCCCCCATCCCGTCATCCAGTCCAGCCCAGGTTTACCTCACACACTCAGACGTCACTTTATTAGGAACACCTCACTTAATACAGTCTAATGCAACATGGAGCTGATAGTGTTGAGTTTGAGCACAGCTCCACAGACAGAGCACTTCCTCCAGAGGGATCAGCAGCACCACCACCTCACATCAGCCAAGACTCACCATTATGACCCACATCATTTATCGCAGGCCTCATGTATCCCATGGATCAAACTAAGACCCTTCAAATACAGCTGTCCCGCAGTGTTAATGTTATACACAGTTCTTGAACTTGTTGTTTTTTGGAGGCTGTAGTTTGGGACAGGTGTTGTTACCCAGGTGGAGTAAATATTAAAAACACACTTCACACAGTTCAAACAGCAGCACTTTAAATCAGAAGACAGACCAGTGTAACCCTCGTGAATTATTGTTGGCCCTAATTTAATGATAGAAATCTGGTGCTACACATTTCCCACAGTGAGATCAGAACCAACATCTGTAAATCAATGAAAGCTGAACATTATAAAGTTGTTGATGTCTTGGAGGTGTCGTTTATGGTGTTGTAGCCACATCTTCTTCTTATTTGAATAGACAAAATAATTTAACACAATACACTTAAAACTGAATTAAAGTAGTGCAGGTTTTACTGTATCAACAGAAGCTGAACATTATAACCCACATGCACTCATGGAGGTAGGACCTATTGCAGGCCTGATGTATCAGATGGATGAATGAATGAATGGAGGGATAAATAAATGTCCCACCACAAACTGCAGCTTCCAAAACGATCATACTGTTGAATCTGTCATAACACAACAACTTTTTATAAAAGGATATTCATCGGAGGCCTGTTATTTTAGGCTGCATTTGTCGTAGTTGGCTGTACCTAACAAACTGAGCACCGTGTCTATTCATTTCTAAACTATCCCGACTGAAGAAAGATAAGTGGTGGGTGAATTTACACGAGGTCTCGACGTCCACTCAGCTTTAGTTAAAGTTAAACTACTGTTTAAACACAAACATGTTTGAGGAATGCAAACAGGTGAGTGAATCTGTTGGTTTCCTTATTACTTGACACTGATCTGGATGTTGATAGTGGCTCCTATAAACCTACCGACAGTATCAGCTCACAGTGTGTGTCTGTGTGTGTATGTGTGTGTGTCTGTGTGTGTCATAAATAGAAGTCTAGTGTGTAACCGAACAGCTGATGTCCTGACACCTGTGACACTCGCTCCTCAACACATGAGCAGAGTAATGAAGTGAGACACACATCATTATGTGTTTTCCCAGTGTGTAGCTTCACTTTCTTTACTTGCTTCATTAAAGCCGTTTTCAGATGTGATCTCCTGAGAATGTCTGGACTTTCTCTGGAGTTTTTCTGTCACATATGAAGAAAAGCTGCAGGAGAATCTCACACCAACACAGAAACGTTCAGGTGAGGGGTGGTGCCGCAGGACAGGGTATAATGTCGGGGGCTGGGAGGAGAAACTCCAGAGACAGTCCAGAGAAATGGACTCTGTGATTTGTGTTCTCACATTCAGCCCCTCGGGATAACGTCAGGAGATTGTCTGGAGTTCAGTGCAAGCAGCTTTCACAGAAACAATCTGAAGCTTATAATGATCAGAATATTGTTCACCATCATATGATGTCACATGATCTCTTCATCCTGTAGGACTATAGACACAACGTGAAGGTTATATAGATTGAACAATATGGTAGAAGAATGATGTCCTGCTGCTACGATGACGTCATTACGGCTGTTTTATTTCACAGATTGTAGAGTTCCAGTCATTGAGCTCGTCGGACTCTGTAGGTTAAACTCTCAATGAGAAGATTCATTGCTCTCTAATTACGAGGCTCAGTTTTATATTTACTATCATTCGTGCATTTAAACCAGTTCAAATCTGGTTTCTTTATGTTCTTCTGTACATAGGAAGAAGCATTACACTTTTGCTGACTCTTTCTTTCCCAGACGTGCACAGCAGAGATTTTCAGAGGATGAATGCTGCTGTTTTATGTTTGCAGGTTACACAAGCCACAAATCAGATTGTGATGAACTGTGCTGACATCGACATCATCACAGCTTCCTTTGTACCTCAGGGAGGAGAAGGTAAGGATCAGACTCTGTCATCTTTCCCCCCTTTTTCCTTTATTGTTTACATTCCCATAAGTTAAGTTTTTCTGTATCTTGTTCCATGTGTACTCCATTTTTCATAATTCGAAAAGAATGATTATCCAGTGCAAACAGTCAAAGCTCTGGAACTCAGCCCGTCTTTTCTTTCCTCTCTGTGTTTTCCCTTTTCAGAAATCAATGCGACGGGATTCAACTATCAAAACGAGGATGAAAAAGTCACCCTATCATTTCCTAGCGCTCTACAGAAAGGTAAGAAGGGACCTCACTTGGCTCTTCTGACGATAAACAATCATTATTATTGTTGAAGCATAAAGTCGTTTTCAGACACGAACTCCAGAAAATGTCTGGAGATTTGGGTCCAGATGTGTCCTGTAGAGTCTGTCCTGTGAAGCAGCAGACCGTCCGACTCGTTCACAACAACAGGAACATGTGGGGGACATTCAGGCGAGGGGTGGAGCCTGTAGAGCAGCAGGAGGCCAGACATGACGTATCTGCTGTGGAAAGATCAGTGTTGTTGTTTACAGCTCGTCCACACCAGCGTCGGCCCTCATCACCAAAACATCTGGAATCTCCTCGTCTTTCAGAGTTGACGTCTTTGTCTTCTTCATTCACTCGGTCGCTGTGAATTTTCCCATATGAACTTTCCCTCTGTACTCTCACACAGACTCTCCCTCTGACATTTCACTCGGGAGCTGCAGGAAAAGTCCGAAGTAACTGGCTCAGACAGTTCTCACATGCCGTTCTTCCAGAACATTTCAGGAAACTGTCTGGACCTCAATGTGTATCTAAAAGCAGCTAAACATGAACGGTCGTGTCTGAACAAACAGTACAACTCTCTGTGCCCCCCCCCCCCCAGGCTCCGGCATGTTGAAGATCGACTTCGTTGGGGAGCTGAATGACAAAATGAAAGGATTCTATAGAAGTAAATATACAACCCCTGCTGGAGACGTCCGCTACGCTGCTGTCACACAGTTTGAGGTGAGTTGACGGACTCAGGGAGGTGAGATGTGAGATCTGAACCAGATATAAATCTGTTGTGTACATGCACGGATCAAAGTGGCAGAATGGTTTCACACAGAATTGTTTTCAATCATTAGCTTTATGTCCTGGTGTCGGAATCCTTTCATGTGAAATACGGCCACATGGTTTAGCTTCAGGCATTTTGCTGGTGTGTCCATTTGAGTTATAGCTACTAGCTAACTGTTGGCTATTGTTTGGTGCCAGAGCCACGTAGAGAGTGTGTTAACATCAGAGTTAAGTGCATTGGTAACTGGACATGTGTTGTGATGTTTATGTTGCCTCTAGGAAGGAGAACTAATATCTGTACAGAGCTCAGGCACCGAAATGAGGCAACAAAATCTGTGCTGGGGTTTTATCTGGTCGGTTCAAACTGTGTTGGAATCGGTTCCAGTATTTCAGTACCCAGACCTACACCTGTTTGGTTTGGTCCAGGCTCCTGACTTTTACAATGGAAAACCAAAACGAACCAGATCTTAGTTCTCACATGTGAAAACACTCAGAGACAGACGGAGAGAAAAAGAAAGATAGAGAGAGTTCATCAGCATAAATAACAATTACTAACATGTTTTAGTTTGCTCGTGAGCTGGTTCTGTTCTGCAGCCACTGAAAAAGGCTCTGACTTCAGGCCCTTTAAAAAAAATATATATATATATACAATATATATATGTGTTTGATATATAAAGGCTTCTCTTGACTGCTGGAGACAGCAGCATTATTTATTATGTTTATATTATTTATATTTGAGAATCTTCAGAATTTCTGGATTATTTTGTCATAAAATGTCTCCTGACCTTTATCCAAGTGTGCTTAAGCTGATAACACACAGTTATAATCTTTCCTCTTTACTCAACACACCCATCTAACATTCAAAGTGGTGGTGGAACCCTGGATTAAATCACTGCTGGAATCTCCCTCAGCAGCGACGACCAGAAACAAGCAATAAATTCTGTGACAAGAGAAGCTGCTGCCTCATGTTCACATTAACTTAGGATGTTAGAAGCTGCTTTTCCAGACAAGAAGCAGAGACTAATAACATGACATCATGATGATGCAGAAATACGTGTCAGAGTTTTTATATTGAAGATGGAAGAGAGTTTTCTTTTTGGTTTTGTTGATATTGTTTGGAGTAAAAATCTGACTGGACAAGTTCCAGAGGGGACAAGCTGTACACAGAGTGTGATTGTGTGGTGTTAGTCCATCTCACCAGCTCTGAACGCAGTCCCTGCTCATCTGGACTGAAACACCAGGTCTCACTTTTTGTCTCCCCCCCTCCCTTTCTAGGCTACGGACGCTCGCAGAGCTTTCCCCTGCTGGGACGAGCCAGCTATCAAAGCCACCTTCGACATCACTCTGATAGTTCCCAAGGAGCGAGTAGCCTTGTCAAATATGGTACGTACACTGCTCCCTCCTGACAAACTGCATCACATCAGAAAACACCATCTGCTTTAGATGATTTCCAACAACACCTCCCTCGTCAGGGTAACACAGTTCAGCTGGGTGTCTGCAGAGAAGCTAAATGTGGTTCTTTCTGAAGATTGTCTCTAAATCTACATACATGAACAACATTTGATTACAAAAAGGCAAATAACCAAAGATTATTATGGGTAAATAAACCTAGATAATATTCAAAAATAGATTTTAAACCAATAATATTCGACTTCCATTGTGTAGCCGGACTGAGGCCTCAGTTTGGACTCAGGTTGGTCCAGCTCTTGACCTTCTGTGTGCTCATGCTGAAATTAGTTTCCTCAGTGAGTTACAGTGACCTTTCAAAGTCTGGCGGTTTTACACTCAAACTGTTCTCTTCACGTAGCCACTGGGTGAGCACATTGGAGAGGAAATGAATTTGCCTATTGTGCAGTGTTTGGGTTCCTCCTCGCTGAGTCACACAGAAGCAACAGTCAACATCACTAACACTGTGGCTTTGTCCCTGGCATGGTTTTGAAGTTAGGACGTAATATTTGTTCAAGACGGAGCTTTTTTATTATTCTCAGATAACCCTGGAGAGTTTAATTAATAATTAATGTATCATATTTTATTAGTTGTATTAGGTCAAACCTGTGATGTTAAGAACATTCATGTTAAAATGGATTAACTCACCCGTAAATGTTCTTTTACATAAATGTTCCCCTAGTTTTCAATCTTCAAATATCAGATTTTTAGGGCTTTAAAAAGTCTTAAATACGTAAAAATATTCTGCACCACGTGTTGAATATGTTTAGCTGGGTCTGAAATATTTAACTTTATTTCACTCTGGATACTGTCTGTAATGTGAGAGATAACAAGGTGTTTCCCAGGTTATTTTCTTCTCAACTTCTTTACTAAAACTTCAGTCGTAGTGTAAGTAATTCTGGGAGAATTTCATTAATCATAGTTTTAAAAAGTCTGTTTTTGATGTTAAGTGGTGTAGCGTCAATCCAGTTCAGCCCTGTGTATTTCCCATGCCTCCATTCTCTTTATCTTCTCCAGAATGTCATTGATCGAAAGCCATTTCCAGAGGATGAAAACCTGGTGGAAGTGAAGTTTGCCACCACACCCATCATGTCCACGTACCTTGTAGCTTTTGTCATTGGTGAATACGACTATGTGGAGAGCCAATCATCAGACGGTATAACGGTACGCGTCTACACGCCTGTGGGGAAGGCAGAACAAGGGAAATTTGCGATGGAGGTGAGCACGTCAGAGAGGAAGCCACAGAGGCTGCAAACAGTTTCATCTGCTCTCCATCAGTGTTGCTGCACAGACTCTGGAGTAATTTCTTTACCTTTTTTTTCTTGCAGGTTGCGACTAAGACCTTACCTTTCTACAAAGACTACTTCAATGTTCCTTATCCATTGCCTAAAATTGATCTCATAGCTATTGCTGATTTTGCTGCCGGTGCCATGGAGAACTGGGGCCTTGTTACCTACAGGTAAACTAAAGATCCCTTTTAACTACTGATTTTAAATCCTCTTTTTTTGTACTGTTTCAATATTATCATTTGCTAAAACCATATTTGCCATCGTCACAGGTTTTGGAAAATTGGAATTGAACTTAATGAACCTTTTCACCACCTATTTAATATGTTGCATTTGTTTTTACAACCATATAATAAAGCAACTTGATAATAAAGTAAACACACAGCTTCCTATTAATTGTCCAGACTGTGGCGGCTCGCCATATTCGAGTTTGTCCCGCCACAGTTTAACAATTAAATGAATTTGTTTAACCTCAAAAGAACACTCAGATCTCTGAGCAGCTCACTCACACTGTTACGCCCCCACGAGTTGGCAGGCTGTTGTCCATAATGTTTTTACCGTCCACGTGGGCCTTTCACCTGTCACTCAGATTCTGTTGTGTGTGATTTTCGTGCATGTGCACCCCCCACTACCTCCATAGATTTAAATTATGTAGGAAGCGATGAAACATTTTCATGTCTTTGTAATTTCCAGGGAGACGGCGCTGCTAATCGACCCGAAAAACTCCTGCTCGTCCTCCAGGCAGTGGGTGGCGCTGGTGGTCGGACACGAACTCGCCCACCAGTGGTTTGGCAACTTGGTCACCATGGTAACCAACCTTTTGAAACTGAAAATAACCTCAGGCGCCCACATACACATTAGTTGTGTCCCAATTCAAGGGCTGTGTCTTTTGGAGGACTCTGTTTATGAAGCTGGTAAGAGCAGAACAAGCTGGTGAAGCAAATAGGAAATCTGCCGTCGGCTCTGCCCTCACACGGTCTAAAGGTTGACCTATCACAAGAGTGTACCAGCCAATCAGAGCAGACCGGGCTTTATCAGGAGGGGTCTTAAAGAGACAGGAGCTAAAACCATGTGAATGAGACAGAGGCTGCAAAGAGGAGCTGCAGCGATGGACAGTCTGAGGACAGAGATGTTTTCTTATCATGAGAGCATAAAACATTTTACAGTCATGACACTGATTAAAGTGATCGACCTGAATGAGCAGAATGTTTTAATATAAGTCCATTTACTTTCCTTTGTGGACATGTAGTGTGTCACATTGTTGTCTGATCCAAGAAGGTCGTATTTTGGAACCAATTTAATGGACGAATGTGTCTCATCAAGCTCTGTGTGTGTTTGTTTGTGTGCAGGAATGGTGGACCCATCTGTGGTTAAATGAAGGATTCGCGTCCTGGATTGAGTATCTGTGTGTGGACCACTGCTTCCCTGAATACGACATCTGGACTCAGTTCGTCTCAGCTGATTACACTCGCGCTCTGGATCTGGACGCGCTGGACAGCAGCCATCCCATAGAGGTGACAACTGAAAGCTGCTGAGTCATGTGTTGATGATCACTCCACAGCCTCATTATTCTATTTTCTATTCATAAAAAATGAAAGATCTCACTGAATGCAGATTATTTGAAGGGCAGATCGGCTCAGCTACATAATTCTTGATTTCTAACTTTTCCTTTCGTGCTCCAGGTGAACGTGGGCCATCCGTCGGAAGTAGATGAAATATTTGACGCCATCTCCTACAGCAAAGGAGCGTCTGTGATCCGCATGTTACACAACTATATTGGAGACGAGGTTGGTTGTTTGACACTCGCTGCCTAATGATGTCTCAACTTTTTGTTTGTATTTTGTTCTGTAATGTTCTCATCTGAATTTCTCTTTAGGATTTTAGGAAAGGAATGAACGCTTATCTTTTGAAGTTCCAACATAAAAATGCATCGACAGGTAAGAACGTGAGGAAACGTTAACGTTGAGATGAAGCACTCATGTAAATTGATTCACTAAATTCTTCCTCTAACCCCCGGCTGCCTTCCACAGAGGACCTATGGGACTGTCTGGAACAGGCCAGTGGGAAACCCATCGCTGCAGTGATGGGCTCGTGGACCAAGCAGATGGGCTTCCCTATTATTGTGGTGGAACAGGAACAGGTGAGCTTCACTGGACCAAAGCTGTTTTATTCATGATCTGAGTAAAAAAAACTATTAACACCAAGGTCACTGGTAGAAATGATAAATATTCTTTTTCTTATTTTGTGCCCTGTTTTTTGATTCTCGCTGACACACTGACCATGATGTTATTAATAGCAAGGCGACGACCGCATCCTCAAGTTATCTCAGAAGAAGTTCTGTGCCAGTGGACCACATACTGGTGAGTGGTTCCTATTAAAAAACAAACCACACATTATTATGAATCCTCAGAGCCGGGATTCATTTTAATTTAGCTTCATGTTAACTTGAAATCAAGACTCATGACTGTTGCTCTTCTGTCGGACAGGTGAGGTTTGCCCCAACTGGATGGTCCCCATTAGTATTTGTACCAGCGAGGACCCGACATGCACCAAGCTCAAGGTTCTGCTGGACAGACCCGAGACGACTGTCACTGTGAGCGGCGTCGCTCCAGACCAGTGGCTCAAGGTGATTTATAATAATTCACTTTCCTGAGGATGAGAGTCTGAACCAGCTTCATGTGTTTGTTCATGTTTCATTTGATCTGTTTTAGTTCCACATTGAATTTTAGGGACTAAAGAATGTTGTCTGTCGTCATCACCTACGTGGGCTGCGTCTACATATAGTAGTCGTACTCCACAGTATTACAGTACCTCAGTATTACAGTACTCCACATGAGCGTCCTCATGGTTCAACCTTTTTTCTGTCGTCATAATGTGGAGTCCTAACTCATAAAAGTGATCATAGATCATAGATCTTAGATTTGAAGTGGAGTTATAACCATAGATAATAACTGATTCTACACTCTGGCCTCTCAGTTGGTTTTTCTATTCTTCCACCTGGCTGTTCATTTTACATCAGCTATGACCAGATGTGTGTAAAAGGTTGTGCACATACAAACATGTCAAAGTTTAACCTCAGACAGGAACATTTTAACCCTGACTCTGAATGGAAGACGGGTGTTTGTTATCACCTGACAGGAGACGGCCGCAGCGTGAATGTGAGAGAGACAGATTGTGGATTGAGCGGAATAAATCAGTTCCGAGTCCTCAAAGACGCCTCGTTCCTTCTTGTTTTCAGTCAAAGTCAAACATGAGTTCAAACAAAGTTCAGTGACCAGTTGACTAGTTCCTGGTTTGTGAGTCAGCGGGAGGAAAAGGAAAGTCAACACTACTTCTGCTAATTCCTTTATGTCAGGAAACAAATACTGATATTTCTGTGATATTGACTGATTATTTTTTTTAACCTCCTGATAAATCAGTCGAGCTCTTGTTCTCTGGTTCTTGTTCAGGTTTCGACAAATGTGTCAAGAACGTGAAAAAGGTTTTGGGGGATTAACGCTTTTAACTTAATAATTAGCTCAGCAGAGTTGTTTATTGTTTTGGTGCCTGAATAAAACTCGTCTGAGGCGTAACAGAGCAAACAGAGGATTGAAGATTGATTTTGTCCCCACTGCTCTAATCCTGTGGCTCCACCTGCTCATTAGAGTTAAAGATGTAGAGTAAGAAGAGTTTTGAGGCTTCAAAACAACACTTGGAGCCAAAAAATGAAATTTTGAAAAACGAAGGTTCTCTGTCTGTTAATGTTTGTTGTATTATAAGTCAGAATGACCAGTGTTTGTGGAAAATTCCCTCACTGTGTCAAGCTTATTATCGACTAAACCCCCGAGCATTAGCATCAGTTTCATGCAGTTTCAGGTCATTCTGGAGAAAAGACTCCGTCAGTCTGAGAGGTTAAAATGGAGACAGTAAGATTTTCCCACAGTGTGACCCAGTTGTGTCCCTGCTACTGTTTATAGATCAACCCGGGCACCGTGGGCTTCTATCGCATTCAGTACAGCTCAGTCATGCTGGAGAGTCTGCTGCCGGGCATCAGAGACCTCAGCCTGCAGCCCGTGGACCGACTCGGCCTCCAGAACGACCTCTTCTCCTTGGTGAGAGCTTTCTGCACGGCACCTTTTCCACAAACTGTTTTTCATTCTGTCAGAAATGTGCATTGAAAGATGCTGTTTGTTTTGTTTGTGTGCTTCCAGTCTCGTGCAGGGATGATCAGCACAGTCCAGGTGCTGAAGCTGATGGAAGCATTCATCAACGAGCCAAACTACACAGTGTGGAGCGACCTCAGCTGCAACCTGGGAGTTCTGTCGTCGCTGCTTTCCCACACCGACTTCCACGAGGACATCCAGGAGTTTATCCGGGACCTCTTCACCCCCATCGGCCTCGAGCTCGGCTGGGACAGCAAACCAGGAGAAGGTGAGGAGGACGAGCTTGACAAGAGCGACGAACATTTAACTCAAAGGATTTTCACCTATCGTATTTTCAGTTGTTTGTTTTTTACACCCCTCTACTCCCATCTTACAAAGAAATATATTCTTCAGGTTACATCAGTTTATATTTGTCTCTAAAAAATGAGCATGCATGAGGAAGAGAAGGAGAATAACCAGAGTGGGACATTTTCACCCCGCAGGTCACCTGGGTGCCCTGTTGAGAGGCCTGGTTCTGGGGAAGCTTGGAAAGGCGGGACACAAACCCACACTGGAGGAGGCCAGACGGAGATTCAAGGAGCACGTGGAGGGAAGACAGGTCCTGCCTGCAGACCTCAGGAGCCCGGTGAGCAGACAAACGCGCTCGCATCTGTTTTTGTACCATTCAGACATGTTTGGGGTTTTAAGGTGATCATAAGCATTTGTTCGCTTTCACCACCGGAGATTTTAATGAAAAATCCCTGTTCCAGGTTGAATCTTGTGTCTTTAACTCTTCTTCACAAAACACAAAGCATTCTGAAAGACTTCCTCCCCTCGACCATGAATTCAGTTAACGGTCAGTGTACAGGGATCGCAAATTAACGCAAATTGATGCAACAAAACCATAACGCACTTGTCCATCACAAATCAGTGAATGAGCCTCCAACACAGTCATGTGTGGCCTTCATGGGACTTTGTTTTGACTCCGGAGCAGATTAGTTTATATTTCATGTTTTCATTCACGTTGGAAATTGATTTGACTCGATGTTTGTGTTTTCATCAGGTGTATCTAACCGTGCTGAAGCACGGGGACAGTGCCACGTTGGACACGATGCTGAAGGTAAACACGAAACAAATGACGTTAATCTGACTGATGGAGCTTTAGCAGCTTTAGCAGCTTTAGCAGCTTTAGCAATCGTCATCAGAGAAATCAGCCCTGATTAGACTTTAAATCAGATGTTTGTGCTTGATTCTATTGAAAATTCCCTCGTTCTCTCTCTTATGTGTCCGTTCTTTCTCTGTGTCTCTCGGCCTTGTAGCTCCACAAACAGGCTGACATGCAAGAGGAGAAGAATCGCATCGAGCGAGTGCTGGGCGCCATCTCAGCCCCCGACCTCATTCAGAAAGTCCTCAGCTTCGCCCTCTCGGTACATGTGACCTCACTCTCACTGCTTGGTTTTGTTTCTCAGGGTCAAAGGTCATTTATTGTAAAGTGTGTTTATAATCACGAGGGAGATAAAGCCCTTCTGTTTGCTGTAGTTTTTAACTCGTTGTGTTTCTCTTCTGTAGTCGTGGTTCACAGATTATTCTGTAATGTTGTTTATGATTCAATATAAGAACAAATGTAGCGACTGACTTGATGAAAGTATGAACATTTCCGCTTCTGTGGCCTTTCCACATATTCCAAAATATAAAAGAAACTGGAAGTTAAAGTTAAATCATCAACTGTTTAACCACAGGTTTACCTCACAAGCTCCATAAGTGATGAAGGAGTGGGGCAAGTGTAACCATAGCAACAGGGATGCATTTCAAAACTAAACCTTGGTCGTGCGGCTGCCGCCTCAGACAGCCGGCACAGATCGGCCGCTGAGTGTCTGGTGTGAAACTTCTTTTGGGTTTTCTCTCCACCAGGAAGAGGTTCGTCCCCAGGACACAGTGTCAGTGATCGGTGGCGTCGCAGGAAGTAGTAAACAAGGCCGGAAAGCTGCCTGGAAATTTGTCAAGGACAACTGGGAGGAGCTCTACAATCGCTACCAGGGCGGCTTCCTCATATCACGACTCATAAAGGTAAAACTGCTGCTGCATCTGATTTACTCTGTTTATTGGTGGAGTCACCGATGTGGTTCTATGAAGACGTTCCACGTGCCGCTCACACATCCAGTGTAGCTTTGGCGACACACACTACGGAATATTATAAAGATTACTGCTCCATGTTGTCTCAGTAAGACACTGGGACATTTGATGGTCAACATCAAAGTGACTCCCAACTGTTTGTCGTCTGAGTCAAGTTTTCCTGACGTCCTGGTCTGTTTTTCACCTCAGGTCGGCTGGACGCTCAATCTGTGCTAGTTTTAGTTTTCACTGTATAATAATAAGCTTTCTTGTTTGCTCATCTTTGCAGCTCACGGTCGACGGCTTCGCTATCGACAAAATGGCTGCTGAAGTGAAGGTGAGGGCTCTTTACAAAACTCCTCCGGGTTCATTTGTGGAATGAATGAATGTTGAGAACAAACTCTTTACCACTAGAGGGCAGAATAACTGCGCTGACACACCATCTCTTCAGGTTGAGCTGCTGTTGAAGCTCGACTCCGTCGCAGAACCTGTTAAAAACAGTCCCAGTCTCATCTACGCAGTTTATTCAAAGTTTCACATATCACGTGTCCAAATCACAGCAAAGTGTGAAGCTGATAAAATGAACAGTTGTGGAGATAATGTGAGACACATACAGAGATTTCTGGAGTTATCAGATAGAAGATGATCAATCGAAAGCTCCAGAACAGCTGAATAAGTTTGATTCTTACATCTTCAACTTCGTCCTTGATTTTTTTTTCTTCCTTCCTCAAACGCCTGTTTCTTTGTGTCCCTGCAGAGTTTCTTTGAGAGTCACCCGGCGCCGGCGGCTGAGCGTACAGTGCAGCAGTGCTGCGAGAACATCCTCCTCAACGCCGCCTGGCTGAAGCGCGACACAGACGACATCCAACAGTATCTACTGCAGCGCAAAGCCCCCCCCGTCTGAGCCTCCGCCTCTCCGTCGCCTCCTCCTCTAGCCCCCTCTCCCCTCCCTCCAGCGCGGACTTCCCAGCATCATAGCTGCCTCTGCCCCACCCCCGTCACCACAGAGCAGAGCGGGAGAGCAGAGCGTTCTTACAGCAGGCTTCATTTCTCTAAAGAAACTCTATGAAATCAACAAGACAAAGCCAAGAATTTAACAGTGTTGGAAACACGAAGAGACTCTTTTTACGTCAACAAAGCAAAATCCATTTTAAACAGACCAGGAATGTAGTTTTATCCCCATTCTGTCCACGAGCAGATGAGCCGCCAGCGAGTCACGTTATTAACCCGCAGCTGAGTGAAGTCACAGGAACGGCACCACCCTCGAAATGATCGTTAACCCTGCTAACGCTGTCTGCATCACCTGCCCCGTATGCACACACCCCCTCCTCCTCCTCCTCCGCATCATAGCTGAGAAAACTGTGAACCCCCCCTCTTTCTCCTCACTTTTTTTTTTTTGCTGCTTTGTTTACTTTGTTTTCTCCAAAAACAAATAATCTTTCCCTTTTCCGCCCGTCTCCGTTAGTATCCACACCTTCTCCCTCTCACCCGGGGGCTGTGATCGGGTGAAGGCAGAGAGCACCTGGACAGAATGGGGATAATAACAGTCGTGTGTGTTGTAGTTTCCAACAGCACTGATTCTCCATTGCTAATAAACGACTAGGACGAGACGAGCAGCGCTAGCATGGTACTACATTGTAAACTGTATAATGCAAGTTTTTTTTTTGTGGAGAATGTTCCTTTAAAAGAATTAAACCGAAAAGTTCATGATTATCTGACACACACACACTCTCTTAAACAAACACACACACACACTCTCTCAAAGCCCCTGGAGCTCTATTCAGTCAGAGTTGATATTGTTCGAATCGTCAACAAATATATTTAAACCCCAGTTTCTTGATCTGCCACCCTCAATGAGATGAAGATGTCAGCACGTGTTTTTATAAGACATCAGATGCAGTGATTTATTTAAATGTTGAGACGATCGTATATTCTGAGGAAAGGATTTAAAAAAAAAAAAAAAAAACACACACACAGCACTACTTTTTGGGGCCTTTTTATTTCTGAAGTAACATCAGGTTAAACGCCTCCTCGTGCAGTCGAGCGTCCGGCGAGGCCCTCGCAGGAATACGTGGACATGACTGATCGACTTTTACTGCGCCGTCGAACATGGAAGCCTTAAATTGGTCGACTGGTTCGCAGTAAACATGTTGTGATTTACTGCAGTGATTTTAAAAGGTGACTTCCACATAACGTCAAATGTATCTAATGTGACAGAATATGCAGACTTGTTGAGCGAGTATATCTATATAGAATTTACAATTTGATGTGGTTTTTGAAAAACATACTCACAAAGTCATCCAACCTGTTGTCGAGACTCTTTTCTCTCCCCCTGGAACATTTGTTGTTGTTGTTTTGTTTTTTTTTCTTTCCGTCACTTGTTTTCGTTTCTTTTCTTTCTTTTTTTTTTTTTTTTTTTTTTTTTTTTTTATAATTTTTT